AAAATAAATTTTAAAATAAGTTGTTTTAATTTTTTTAATTCATCTTGTGGCATACTTAGAATGGCTTCACAGCATACTAGTTGGGAACCAATACTAGTTGGAAACCACTGCATTAATTTCTAGAAATATTTAAATTCAAATAAAATTGTTTTAATGAATATCTTCTGAAAGATTGCTTAACCTAACTTTGGAAAACTAACAACATTTATTAAATTTCCAAACCTTGACATATATATGTCAAATTTAACAAAGAAAAATAATATAAAATGCAATGTTTTTAATTAAGAAATTAATTAATTAAACCCTTTTAATACCTTAGATAAAAATATATTAAATAAACTGCTTATAATGGATTGAAAAATTATAAAGCTCTCAGGAGAAATTATAAATACATGACCTCACATTAGAAAAAGCTTTTCTATATTGTACTTTATCTTCATTTACTCACACAAATTTTAATAGTAAATCTGTTGTTATGATTTTTAATATAAAAACTATTTCAAGTTTAAATCTTACCATGTTTATAATATATTAGATTAGATGATGACTGACCACTTTGCTATATTACTTAATAAAAAGTTTTAAATAAAATCTATTATATTTATCACTATTCTTACTTATTTTCACAATCACATTATTTTTCTTTTACTACTTAGTAGAGGATGCATCACTGTTATTATTTCCACTTTGTTTGACAAACATAGGATGATCAGGTTGATGCTGAGTATACCATAATTGCGCATAAAGTGAATTGGTATCAGATAATAAAGTCTGATGGTTTCCCCTTTCTTTAACTTCACCTTTATCTAAGACAAGAATTTCATCTGCATCCACTACTGTAGAAAGTCTGTGTGCAATGCATACTGATGTTCTTCCTAATGAAGCTCTATGTAATGCAGCCATGATTTTCTGTAAAACCAAATATAATCTTCAAGATTTATTTTTAAATTATATTATATAGTTAAATTAGTTAAATACATTACCTTTTCAGTTATTGAATCTAATGATGATGTAGCTTCATCAAAAATAAAAATTGGTGAATTTTTTAAAATTGCACGAGCAATAGCTACTCTCTGCTTCTCGCCACCTAAAAAATATGTTCATACTTTTAAAAATATAATAAATACAGTATTTCATTTAAAAATACAGTGAACCAGTGTACAACACGGGGGGATATGTTTCTTAAACTCACAATTTATACATAACACATGGTTCATATAACATGATTTCCTATAATTCAGAATATATCCCTGCATTGTACAATGTTTTATTGTTTCATTAATTTATTACATCTAAATTAAATTGAATAAAAAATTTCTTAACATTAAAAGACAAATTCGTATCCATATAGTCTAACTATTAATACTTTGGTATTCTAAAATTAAATTATACCCAGGTGGGCTATTACGATTCCTCAAATCATAAATGTCTTGAACTAAGAATATTTCTAAGACGTTCTGAATTAATTGAATATTATGTACTTCACATATATTGGATTTTATCATAAACGGATCTATCGAAAAACCGTACTTATTATTATATTTGCCAACTGCCAACCCAATTTTTCTTGAACTTATTATTTTTTGATATAACATTTCTAATAAAATGGCTGGAAGCTCCTCATTATTTCTTATCCGATAATAGAGATATATACCTTAACTGTTTGTTAAATAAAAATGAGAAATTATATTTCAATTAATTGATTTTTAGATCACCATTTATTTAAGGATTAACTCTGTATAATCCATCGAAACTTGATTTAAAACTTGGTAATAATATGAATAGACTTATTAGAATATTTATTCTGATTTATATTTACGAACACGTGAAACTGGTGTAAGATTTTATCTTAACTTAAAAGAAGATAAATTTTAAAAATTCAAGAAAAAGATGAAAGAAGTATTCGAGGAATTTGTTTTACAAAAAATATAAAACTTGATTAGTTTGAAAGAAAATTTTAGAGAGAAATTGTTAATATTAATTTTTCGATGTCAAATGAATTTAAATTAGACATTGTGTTCAGCAAATTTTAGAGAGAGAATTACATCCTTGATCAAAAAGTAATTATGCTAACTTCTAGGAAAGTAAATTCTTTATAAAATTATTTATCATAATTACTTTGTAATATATTTAATAAAAGTATTAAAACTTTATTTTGAAACTTATATTGAAATTTGTTGGATAATTATTCGAGTTAATTTTTTCGCCACCGGTGGCCAATTTTTATGTCCCCGTCAATAATCGTTATTTAGAAGTTTGACTGTATTATTATATTAACATATTAAATGAATGAAGTTTGAAATGTTTAAGTGCTTGAGGCTGAAGGATCCGTATTATAAAATCAAACTCAAATTCAAGTCTGCGTATATCTAGAACGAAATTCGATGGAGAACAGCAAATATTTATTGATATCAATAAAATTCTAATGGTGTTAAGCAGTTTCTCTTAAAGAATTTAAAATAAATGCAGTGTTCTTGTTCAATTGGCTTGGTGCTGAATATGAAGAACTACATGATATAATATGTGAGCCAACAGAAATGGAACATGAAGATTAACATAATTTCTTATTATTTTTAATACTAATTAGTTCTCATATCTAAGTAATAAAATCAAACTCCTGCACATTATGTCTTACTGCCTAATCGGGTTCATACGATCAGTTAGTTCCGTTCTGATATAAATTCTATTAAGATATTAGCATGATTACTACATTTAATCAATAGATTACACACTTAATTTTGTTAAGAATGGTACAATCAAACCTTAATAATAATTATTAAAAGTAAAGTTTTGTATCGGAGCCAACAGTTATTATTTCAAGCAGGGGAAAAAATCAATATTTCACAAAATTTTAAATTTAATATCTTAAAATGGTTTTATCTAGGTCAAGATCAATATATTTTGTTAGAAAATATTACAGCCTTTAACCATTTTTATGTTTTTATTTCTATCTTAAATACAATTTATTATTTCTACTGTATATCGGATCGGTTGGTATGATGGGATACAACAATGCAACACAGGCGATCTGCCAAGGGGAGTGCCTCCCAGAAAGAGTTTGGAACTAGTCCATATTTAGGCTGTTAGACACGTGAAGAAATCCGGAAAACTTTACGTGGCCAGCCTGTTGGTGAGTCATGAACCCATGATCAACTACCAGTATTCAGTGGTTTTATCCATTCTACATTGGATAAATTTAATGTATAATTTTATTGAAGGAATTGAATTCTGTTTTTTACATATAATTATTTTTAAAAATTATAACTTAACCCTAATTAATGTGTGTAGTGAATACAATATCGCTACAGGTCCCATTTTTAACAAAAATCTTTCAAAGAAAATGAATTCGAAATATTTTTATTTAATTCTCCCAAAACCAACTATCTCCTTCGACCCAACATTCGAATTTCTCTCTCGTTCCAAATTCTTGTTTTTGTTTTTTTTTTTTAATTTTTAAACATTTTCTTTTAACATCCTTTTTTAAGATGTTTAACTTTAACATTCTTAGAACAATAAATAAAATAACATATAAATATAAATCCGACAAGGTATATACCATACAGTAGCATACATATTTATGTATAACAGATCGCACTCCGGGGGACAAGTAAGTCCCATATCAATACACCCACGCCGCAACATAAGTGTTAGGGTGTTAACCCGAACACAGATCTGACACAAAGTTTCAAAGAATAAGAGTACAATAGAACAGAGCCTCCACGAAATTACACAAAGTTCACACACGTGATGCACAACTGACTATTTTCGTTTACACAAATTATGCCTGCAATCCTTATCACTATTAATGTCACAAATACAAAGTGCACCATCTCTCTTTCAAACAAGTCTCGAAAGAACGTCTGCGTTGTTCAGATGAGCTCCGGGACAATGCTTGAGGATAATGTTGTATCTCTGTAGAGCCAATGCCCATCGCTGTAGTCTCGATGACTGAGGTGCGCTCTTCGTCAAAAATGTCAATGGGTTATGATCAGTTTACAGTTCAATCTTCGCACCGAAGATCCATGTCTCGAACTTCTTCAGACCCCATACGACAGCGTAAGCTTCACGTTCGATCGTAGACCACTCTTGTTGAGTTTGAGTCAGCTTTTGGCTTGCGTATGATATCGGGTATACCTTTCCCTGAGATTGTTGTGACAAACAGACAGAGATTCCAATTTGCGATGCGTCGGTCTAGATAATGAAAGGCTGTCCCAAGCGATATTGTATTCACTACAATGTCATTATCTGAAATTTTGTACTTTGAAAATCGAAACATTTGTGTTTTATATCTTTTAAATATTTAATATCAGTTCTTAATTTTAAGTACTAATTTATGCTAAGTTAATGCCAATATTAATAATTCCTTTGTAGTATCTATAGAATTATGAATAATTGTGTCAATTGAAGCAGTTCGTAACATTATAGACATCAACAATATCAATATAAATAGACATACTTTTTAATAACATTAAAATTAATATCACGTAAATTAATTTTCATTAACATTAGGAAAATTATGAATAGTATTAAAATAGTAGTATTTTTGCATATGAATAATTTAAATTATGAACTTTGTTTACAATACTGTATTTTAAGCATCTTATTGGTACAATAATGATCCGGGTGGAAATTTTATAGAGTGTGATTCGTGTAATAAAAGTAAACAATATGTAAAAGTTTTATTGTTTTAAAATTACTTATAATAAACAATATAATAATTGTAAAGCAATGATAAAATTATTGCAATATAAACTCTTGTTATTACTAAAATTGCCTTAGAGGATCAGTCCTATCTATCGCCACCTCTCCAGATCAGTTTCGATTTTATCAATAATCCTTAACAAAATAGAAAAAAAATTGTAACAAAATTAATTTTCCAATTTTAGTTAAAATTACATCATCATAGTGCAGACTTTGGAAATTTGGTAAAACATTGTGAACTTGAAATACTTTAAATACTATATTGTATTTAAAATATTAAAGTATTTTTATTTATACTATTATGAAATATAAATCACTTCTTAAACTACTCTTATTAAGGTTAGTCGTTTAAAAATATTACGAATAGTACACACACTATCAGTGTAAATCATATCAACAGTAGTAACGGTTTAAATCAGTTCTTAATAACATCAGTGGAAATCATCACTTTGGTCTTATATTAACATACTTTTTCTTCTCAGAAAATTGAATTGAATTAAACATTAGCTTCACTTAGAATCGATTGAGAATATTTTACTTCTAAAATTTCCATTTTTTTTCTTTTATTTTCCATTAATTTAGATCATATTTTCTGATTTTTTTTAAAAACTTTATTCTTATTATTTCACCTTAAAAATAAAAACGCGTGCTTTCAATTACAAGTTTAAGCCGTGAGAGTTTACACTATATCGGAGTTCCTATAGGAAACTTCGACAGTAAATCATCATCCAATGACCAAATTACGTTTCCTTTCATAAATCTTTGAGAATTGCTCTCTACCAATTATCGCCAAAATCTTGTTTATAACGAAAACAATATTTATTATACTGTACATCGAAAAATATCAAGCTATATTTCTTCGAAATGGTTTCTACACTTGACATTCTGTTTGATCGAAAATTATTAAAATGACAAAAAGATACATGAAAGGATCTTGTAAACTTGTTTTCAAGAAAAAAGAATTTATTTTATGATACCTTCAACATCTGGACTATAAACACAGAATAAAGTATTATATTTTCTGTAGTTTATAAACAAAATTTGAAGTGTCAATGACGAAAGGATTTCATATGTCTGTGCTGTCAAATAATGTAAAAACATAGATTTAACTAAGTTAAAAAAAATTCCAATGGTCTAGTCAGTAGAGTTGCCAACTTTCGTGTTCAAAGAAGGATGACACTGGATGCCATTGTACAATGGAGAACATTTATAACAAAATAGTTAGTTATAAATATTTCTTGACTAACTGTAAATTATAAACAAAATTAAATAAACAATATATAGGGTTTTCAACTCAATGTTAGGATTATTTTCAACTGTTTCATAAATACCATCCTAATTTGAGTCCTTAAATTTTATTTCTTGTCCAACACAAATTAATAGTAGTCTTTCTCTTTT